CACAGAGGCACAGGAGGTCCCACAGCGTGCTCCCTCCAGTACGCTACAGATGTGCTGCTGTTACCTAAAGCTGCTGTCGCCTCGTGTAAATCTAAGCCTCTGTTTCAGACCAAGAAAGCTAATGTTAAGTTTCTAAGAGAAATTAATCCATGTTTTCATTGCTTTTTTTTTTTTTCAGGAGAGAACGCTTAACTCTGATAACAACACAGCAGTACCTAAACTGTGAAAGGTTATAGAATTCATTAGACTCGTAGATTGCTGGAAATGGATTTAATAACGACAGGCACTGACACTGTTTTGATTGCTAATAGCATATCAGTCAGCATACGGCTTCCACAGTCTCAAGTGCCAAAATCCATTTGGCACCTGAAGCTCACCTGCACTGTTCAGGCCTCCCCTGCTGTCAATTCAACACTGGCACCACCTGATTAAGAACTAGAAAACATTTAGAAAGGGGCTCCAGAACAGAGGTGTGAAACGTGAAGCTTCATGCAATCTCAAACATGAAAGCACGATGCTCATATGAAACAAGATGAGACGGCTGCCTTTTTAACTTTCTGCATTTTGATCCTGTTTTATGACTACTTGAGGTTTGACTCCATTTTTCAGTCCAGAAATAAGATATTTGGTTTTATAAGTTTAGTACACACCTCTCACATATAAACATTTTCTTTTCTCCTTGAGTAAAAAGAGGTAGCTTAACAGACATGTTCCCTGTGCTGGAAGACTACAGAAAGATCACTTTTTGCACTGAAGTTCCCTCTAATCTGCACAGAAAGCAGAGTTAAAACTTTCCTGCCTCACAGCTTCAATCTTGCTGTCTTGGCATCAGACTGCAAGAACCTAGCTACACGGTGAGATAGCACAATATTACTTAGTTTCACATAACCCCAAAGAGCAGCTTTTGAAGCTGTATGAAAAGCAACATCCCTTTTGAAAATCTCTCCTATTCACAAGTTCTGCAGAGCAAAACATGTGCTCAGTCCTCTCATCTTTACCTCAGCAGATGTGCTACTTCTTCAAGGCAAGACAGCTGCGCAGAAATAAAACAGGTTGTTGGTTCTGTAAGGGCAGAATACAACCAACATTTGCATGTGAGCCAGTAAAGAGCAAATAAAGTTTTCACAGCAGAGAAGACTGGCTAGAGAAGGTTGGGAATAGACTTCACAATAGAGCAAGGCTAGAGGAATGAGACTATGTCCCAGAAAATGTGGGTAAGTGAGTTACTAGACTTTCCCTAAAGAGACATTTTTTGGAAAAATTCAAGCCAGAAATTCCAGAATACCTGCTGGAACTCCCCTGAGGAAATTCAATTTTATGTCTCACCAGCGATGTAACTGTCATCTCCAAACAAGGCTCAGCCTGCCCTGTGTACTCGCTCTGTCTCGGTGCCTAAGGCAACCCTGGCTTTATTCAGTGACGTTTGGAAAACTGGCGTAATAATGCCACATATGAAGAAGTTTGTTAACCATGTGTCATTTACACTAGAAATGAAACAGCTCCCTGACAGACTCACAACCCTTATGCCGGCTACACGTTCTACGTTGTGGCAGTTTGAGTGAGGCAGGTCATTCCCTATCAAACATAATGATTCCATATGGTGGCCAAAAACGTCTGAGCCAATTTGGTGCACCACATGCATGGCAAATAAACATGAAAAATTCTCCACATAAGAGTCGCAGAAAACTGAATTACAGGTTCTCGCAAATTTGCCATAATCAGCATTTCAAAACAGTTGCTTGAAGAGCACCTTTTCCTTAGGCTGACAACCAAACAGCTACAGGAAAGGGATATAGACATAAGCAAGTTAAAACTGTAAAGAAAATACCACTGTTCTTCTGATTAGAAATTGCATCAGAAACTGGTAAGCAGGTAAGGTAACTCATGAGTCCCTTGAAGTAGGAAGAAAGGAAATCATTGCTTCTGGATGCAACAGTGAAATAGTCTTCTCCCAGACATCAACCCTAAAGGCAGTGTTACCTTCAAACATGTACTCACTTGAACACAGGCACCTCTCCTATGAAGACCGCACTTCTCCTGTGACGACAGGCTGAGAGAGTTGGAATTGTTCAGCCTGGAGAAGAGAAGGCTCCGGGGAGATCTTACAGGACCCTTCCAGTACCCAAAGGGGACCTACAAGAAAGCTGGAGAGGGACTTTTGACAAGAGCATAGGACAAGGGGCAATGGCTTTGAACTGAAAGAGGGGAGATTTAAGTTAGATATCAGGAAGATATTCTTCACTCTGAGAGTGGAGAAACACTGGAACAGGTTGCCCAGAAGAGCTGCAGATGCCCTATCCCTAGAAGTGTTCAAGGCCAGGTTGGATGAGGCTTTGAGTGAGGTGTAGCAGAAAGTGTCCCTGCCCATAGCAGGGGGGTTGGAACTAGATGATCTTTAAGGTCCCTTCTAACCCAAACCATTCTATGATTCTATGAACACAAACTATGCACACACCTGCCAAGGATCTTGTGGCTGGCTGTGGTCAGTAGCCTACCAGGACAAGAAGGTAGCATTGAGAGTACTTGATCAGGGATGGACCTTCCCACTAAAGCAAAGAGAAAAGATCCATGCTCCTGGATCTTGTGAGCTTTGGGCAAGTGTAATGCTCCATGCCTGAAGAGAGAGTGAAAGCTAAACATTCAGACTATGGGTAATTTGGATAGATAACGGTGCAGAGTTTACATGATCCATACCATCAGCAATGCCTTCATAATGCTGGTTTGACATTGCCCAGCAAGTGGAACAGGTGATCAGCAGAAGAATCTGTGTGCCCACCACAAACTGCATTGCGTCTAATTTTCCTGAAGTGAACAACACGGTGTGCTGGAGAAGTTCTCTGCTCCAGAGGAGCCTTCTGGTTTGCCGGGAGTTCACCTGCTTCCAGGGAGATGGATCCCTGGCCCACCTCTGTGCAGTGGGACTTGCCTGCTTCCTCACCACAGATAATATATTCTGAGGACAAGATCCTAGCTCCAGAGAAACCAGGGATAGCTTTGCAATCATCTCGTTCATGGACAGGATTTTGTCCTGAAGGTATGGCTGGATCATTGAACACGATGAGCACCGAACGTCCCAAAGCACATGCCTGCTGAAGTGCAAGCAAAGCAGTAGTACACCATGATGCCTCCTGGGACTTTCTACGTGAAAACAGGGGACTGTCATGGTGCAGCCACATCACAAGACAGTTCACAAAGGCAGACAAAAGAAGCCAAAATACATACCAAGTTATTCAAGGGGCACGGTTAAGCCATTGTCTGGTTCCGACTGTAGTGAGTTTTTAATCAACTCCAATACCCAATTAAAGATTCATTTTTAAAGAAGGCAATCCCAGCATCTCCAATAACAACAGGATCTGTACCAAATGCATTCCACAGCTGTTTTCTGAAGATTACCTTAAATACTACATTAGGATGAACAGCACTCATAAATACAATAAAGTATTTATGTTACAACATCCTATAAAACAGTGTGTTGTGGTAAACAAAAAAAATCTTAACACGGTAGGTAACTCAGATGCATTAGTGCCAGAGCATAGCTCTGTCCCCATGACATTACAGGAAGAATGACAATCCTATCTCCAATCCACACATCCAAAGACTTGACAATTTTGAATTTTATACAATGCATTTAGGTGTCATCTGCCACTAAGGTACAGCATTATGTACTTCAGAAATGAACCAAGCAAAACCTTGAATACACAGTGGCAAACTGTGCTGTAAATACCTTGTTCCATCTCAGAGAGAGAAGTGGAAAGAATCTTGCTGTGAAACAGCAAAGCTGATGATCTTCTTGGTAAGATATTTAACCAGAGTCTGAAATCTAAGACCTGGCAGAAAAGTTCTTAAAAAGAATTTTTTTTAAAGTTCTACCAGCCTACGCCTGGTACCGACGTCTATCCTCTTAATAAATTCAACTTCTTTGGTGACAAGCACTAGCAATGTTAGCGCTGCAAAAAAATAAGTTTTGGTTTTCTGTTTCTTTTGAATGAAGACAACCATAATGCGTTTTTAAATATCAATTCTGATTATCCCTCCTCCCAGCTTATGTGGAAAACAGGAACCAGTTTTCACTACAGTATTAATCATGACTGCAAAACTACTCACCTACACAGACCTGGGTAGTCACACTATCAGGAAGGTTATAATCCAGAGTTACCACCTCACGGTTTGCAATGTCCTTTACTAACAATTGGAAAGGATGCTGTTCATCCTCAGTCTGGTAGCACATGGGTAACGTTACGAGTGAACATGACCTGACCTACATCCATATTTGGGTAAGTCAGACAAGGCCTCCATGGGGAAAACCAGCTGTTGTTAGAGGACAGGCAGACATTTACAGAAGACCTACTAGTGGCTTCAATTAGTAGATCCTGTTGCATTTGACAGCTACCTATTAATTATAATACGAACCACTATTTCTCACGCAGTAGGTGCCACAAGCTGCTGCAAGACTGCTGCAGACTGCCTGGAGAGGTGCAGATATTTAAGCTAAATCAGAATAGAGTGGAAGAGGAGCTACACGTCAGCCACTGCAGTTCCAGCATCAGAAAGAGGCTTCTCGCTATTCACCTTCTTTTTATTTTAAGTCTGACACAGCTGGATTTCCCAAGAGATCTTGTGGTTAACCTTCTTCACGAATTACAAATACTATTCCATCCTTATAGAAAAGGAATACAGCTGATTGTATACACACACAGCTTGACAGCAAGCCCTTGAGAGAGCAGCGTGACATGAAACCACAGAGCTAACACACACCAAGCACTGATTTCGCTGAGGGCCAGGAAAGGCCATCTGTTACAGTAAAGTTCTAGTTAGAACTCGCATGGTTTAACTGAACCTGTAACATACAAATGGGATAATCCGAATCGTGCGACAAGCTGATCTTAGTAGTTATAATCTGGTTTACAAACTGCATCCTGTAATTGCTGCATTAAAGTGAAGCCATCAAACACAGAACGGAATTGCTTGAATACACTTTACAAGAAAGCCTTGTTAGGGGACATGTTACCAACTCTTTTCAGACACTGAACATACTCAAAAGTAAAATTAAGACACGAGTGAGATCACACAAGGTTTTGGCAATTATTTTTATGTTGGCTTTATAGCTTTTCTGGTTTCTTTAGGAAATTCCTGCACAGTAAAAGGAATGAAGAATTCCAGAAGAGAGTTGACGTCCTTCAGTTCCAGACTGTATTCCACTGCTATTTTCTCTGCAGTCCATACTTGAGGATGAAGTTTATGGTTATTAAGAAGTGTCAGAGCCTCCACAATGGAAATTTTGCCTTTAGGAACTTTCTTAACATCTAGATCTCCCAAGTGGCCTAGTTTTGTAAGTCTCTTTTCCTCCTGTTTACATGGAAGACGTTCACCACCTCCATCTTTTACCTAATTGTGGGAAGGAAAACAAAAAGAGCTTAACGGCAGTTCTGTTTACTATGCATACTGTAGCAGCCAAGCTGTTTTCCTAAATACAGCATTTCCTGTTAGTTGTCCCCATTCTCACAGCATTAAATAAATAAATAAATAAATGCTTAGCCAGCCTTGCTTCTTGATATCACAAAAATTGTCAGTTGTTTCACAGCCATTCTACACATGATGTCACCCCCTCCCCTCAAATTCTGAAAAGCTACCATCCATTGAACTCTGAATGTTGTACAGACTTGGGCACCCTTCATACAAAGCAAACTACAAATTTTGGTAGCCAAACGTAAATATAGATAACCTGGTATTTGGTACTGATTCACAGCACTGAGGAAAAAAAAAAAAGAAAAAAACAAAAACCACACTACAAATTGTTATCCTTCTTCTGACACTACCGGAAATCCTTTTCACATACTTCCTCTCCTCTTCCTTTCATTTTCAGATTTTAGTTCTGCAACTAAAGATATCCCTTCTTTTGCTCCATCTAGAGAACAAGGTTTGCTGGACAAAAAGAAACTATTTTGCAGCATCATATGGAGTTTAATTCCCATGACTACTGCAGTGCTCACATGAAGTCTCTTCTCCCAAGTGCCTTCATATTTCCAAAGCAGCTCTGCTTTCCCTGTATTGCCTTTTATTAAGATTTAATCAGTTAATAACACTGCAAAAGAGACACAATGAAAACCTTTCTTAAGTTTAAGAAAAAGTACTTTTAAAGTTCTCAGAGTCCACAGCCACAAATTAGCCCACAGACACTCTGTACTAACTCACAAGCTGAGAAAACTGATGTGGATGCTACAGCATCTATAACCGTGTGTCTGTCTCTCAGCTACAGAGAATGTCTGATGATGCTATCAGTTCTCCATTTCTTCTTTTTACTTTGTACTAAAACTGTGCTCAAATAATGAAAAATTTTTCAAGTCTTAATAAAATGATCCGTCTCTGGGTATCTGCCATTTCAGGAATTAGAGCTGGTGCTCTTCCAGTTTCAATGCATAAAGTATTCAGAATAGTGTCAGGAAAGGAAGGAAGCTTTTAAGTTTTGCCCGTCTCGGTCCTAACACAGTAATCATGCTCTTCCTAACAAATGCGAGTAGAAACACCACAAGAGCAAGTCTTAACGTGGCAGCAAACTCAAGAGTAGGCACCAAATAAAGCAAAAAGACGTTTTGGCTGTTCCTCAAATCAATCCCAACAGGATTACAAATGGAGGTGTTTAAAGATATTTAAATTACACCTTCAGAACTTCAAGATTAGAGTCGTAACCCTTCTTATGAAAATTAAGGATAGAGATTACTTTGAAACTTCAGGGAGAGACTGCAGAAATCTGTTTGCATTTTAAGACATTTTTAATCTTGAGTAGAAAGTACTATGAAAATGGCAAATTAGAGAGACTTAGGAATTTTATTGCTACATTATTATGAAACTTTTATTACTAAATAAAATAGCTAGAATAGAACAGGCCAATAATGCAACAGGCAAAATGCACAAACCATAATGTAACAAGGTGGAAGAAGAGACTGAATCCCAGTCTGCATGTTACCAGAAGGGGTATGCTTTGCTTTCCAAGTCAAAGATGAGGAAACTGATCCAGAAGGTTATGCAGAAAAAATCGTAAGGCACTTCCTCAGCTGCATAAGGAAAAGTCTCTGCATAGTACAACATTAATATCAGTAGTTAAAGACTCTAAATGTCTTTGTCCTCTACCACATCCATGCTCCCACAGCAGTACCAGTCTCTTTTCTTTTAACAACTCTATGAGATATCTCTGGCAAACTCCTGAATCTTTGCAAAAGGCTGGCCAAATGTCCTTCTGCCTTTGAAGAAGTGGGAATTGAGGTGAACAACAAAGTGAGATCAACATGATGTCAAACAAAAGACTGTGTAAGCATTTAAAAGGTTGTATAATCACAATTTGTCACACGCTCAAGGCCCAGGGTCAACACAGTCAGTGCTACTGATACACAAGACAGTAATGAAAACATCACTTTTATCTATTAAAAAAAGTAGCTTTTAGGCACTAACAGAGCATTTTTTTTCGAAACCTACCTCCCAAGTAAGAAGCAACAGGACAAGAGGAAATGGTCTCAAATTGCACCACAGGAGGTTTAGATTGGATATTAGGGAAAATTTCTTCAGCAAAAGGGTTGTCAACCATTGGAACAGGCTGCCCAGGGCAGTGGCTGAGTCATCTGTCCATATCTGGACTTATTTAAAGGATGGCACACAGGGACACGGTTTCGTTGCAGACTCGGCAGTGCTAGGTCAATGGTTGGACTTGATGATCTTAAAGGTCTTTTCCAACCGAAACGATTCTATGAAAATCACAAAGCTCTTGCTAGTATGGCTCCTACAGAGAGACATACTCACCTGCACAGGTGGATCTCTAGACTCGACATAAACATCCTTTAACAAGGTGAGAAGCCTATCGTCCTTTCTGTAAATTTCTTCTTGTATCTCTGGGTGGTCTAAAGGCAGCGGGGAGAAGAAGGGAGGAGGAAAAAAAAAAGAGAAAAGAACGATCTGAGTCAAACTGTTTCCTTTTTGTCACTTCTGCCAGCTTAATCACTTCCCCAGGGGAGCAGCACAACTCCCCAGACGCACTGTGCTTCCCGGGAAGGTCTCGTTCATCCGCCAGCTCCAGTGTTAACACCAGCGCCTCACGCGGCGGCGCCGC